GAAAGGTGCAATCGGGCTACACGTGCATTATTATTAGTGATTTTATGGTTATATTTAGCATTGTTGTCTTTATTTATGTTAGGTTCATATATGTATGGTTGATGTATCATATTAGTGGTTATTGTTAGTATTCTTTATTTTTAACGGTAAACAAACGGCACGATTCTGCGCAATAAGAGTTTGTTTAAATAGCGTTCCAAAACGCATTTATCGTTTTTATGAATTCGCCAAGATTCGATTTTCGTTGGTTCGTTCTTGAAAAAGGGCATTAAAGATGTCCGAAAACGTTTGAAGTGTTATAATAAATTTGGCTGTATTATATAAGGTGTATGAGTAGTGTAATTGAAATTAATAACCCAAAAAATTTTTTATATTTATATAGTATTTAAATGTCATTAGATAATTTTTTTATAATAGCATTTTTTTTAGAATAAAATTATTTTTTTTAGTAATAAGAATTAAAAAGGCGCCATTTTTATTCTTGGCCATAGGCGTCCAAAATCCTAGTTATGGCTCTGATATCACATCATATTATGTTCAAATAATTAATCAAATAAATAAAAATAAAATATCTGTTTTACTAGGACACTGTTCATGAAGTTATAATTATAGAATTATAATAGTAAAAATCTGTAATAAAATTAATTTTATTATCTATCTTATTTTCAATTTTATTTTTTAAAATAAGAGCTGTCTTTTGTTTATTTTTAAAAATTGATTTTTTAAATTATTTAATAAGACAATAGACACTCTCATAGATACTAATATTGATATTTTAGAGCAAGAGTCCCCAAACTTTCTTGACTGTCAATCCCTTCACAGACTCCTTGATCTTCTATCAACCTCCCTCTTAATTTTTTTTTGCTAATGTAGTTTAATAATAATAATAAAATAAATCTGGTTATTCAGTATTAATCCACACACTGTTTTCATAGAAAAAAATCTACAGATCTATGATATAGATCCATACTTATAAAGACATATAATGTACTATACAGTGTGCAAATTTACACCATCCAGAATTGTCATATATGTAACACAATGAACTAAATTTTTTAATGAATGAAATTTTTAATAAACTGTTTCCAATTGACCCCCCCCAATCAATCCCCAACTAATTTTTGACTCCTGAAAATGCCTTATCAACCAGGTCAATATCAACCACTTCAGAGACCCTTGTTCGGAGAAATTTTATTCTAATACATTCATAAATTATTATTGTAAACATTCATCTTAAGTGATAGAATATCTTAATTTATTATAATTTCTTAAAATTATAACCATATCAAAATAAATAAAACTTTAAAAATTTTGAGTGTAATATTGATATAAATATGTAAATATATTAAGAAACTTACTTATCCACAAGTGTGTGTATGACAGAAAGTGTTTCCAGGACCAATTTATCAACAGTTGTCACCATGTTACTCACAATTCCTACTAAATCTAACATATGATGTACATGATTAGACTGTTCTCCATGACTTACAGTTCCTGATACTGAATTAATTGAAGTTCTTCTGCCGTAACTTGAATCACAATCAGAATGTGATTGCCTATCTTTACATAAACAAAGTCCCATACTTTATAATAAAATATGAATTCATTCACTATTATAATATCTTTCTTATATCTCTTGAAATATTATACAACAAAAGTCTCATGTTAAAGAGTTAAATTCCATTTATTTCTTTTTAGTAATAAAAGAGAAAGTAGCACCTTAAAGTTGAAACAGATGTAGAAAATAAATTACTTTATTGATATGACACATCATGAACTATATACATCATAAATTGGCACAAGTTATTTCAATAGTATAAAATTTGCAAATATTAAAACATAGTTCTATTCTTCAAGTATTCCTTTTCATCGTAAATAAAACACATTTGTGACATCTGAAAAATTCAACGTTAAAGCATTAAAATTATATATAATTAAATTTCATTAAATATAATATATATATAATAAATTAAATTGTATTATAATATTAAAAAAGAATAAATTTTAAATATAACTAACAATAATTATCATTTTTTTCAATTTTTGATAATTTTACTGAAAATTATACAAATACAGTATAAATTTATTAAAAATACAATATATAAAAAATGCTTAAATATTATATCAATTAATAATTTTATCTTAAAACTTCAATATACAGATATACCTCGCCTTATGTTGGTAATTGGTTCCAGGAGAGGTGACGTAAGCCAAATCTACTTGTCTCCAAATCTACTTGTCACTACACTAAACCATAAATTACCATTTCCGGTTATGTATTTTATTTATTAATGCATTTTTAATAATATATGGTTAATAAGGATCTATTTTAAGCTTACAAACAAATTTTAGTTTTTAATATAGTACAGAAAAAAGTACTCTAAATTTACGAATGCATGTACTGTAAATATAGTACATACTTGTAAATGTATATATTTTAATATGATTTTATGTGCTTTAAACGCTTTTCTAGTGATATTACAACTTCAATATTTGTGGTGGACAGATGTAAAGTCGAATAAAATGACTTAAACTTGATTTTTATTTTTACATATACTTTTTTGACAAACGACGTATAATCAGGAATGACGTAACTTGAAACGACGTAAGTCAAGGTATACCTGTAGTTTTATTCAGGATATTGCATTTCATAATCTTATCACATGATATTATAACTTTGTAAGGATTCTAATGCATTGCAATATGATAGCACAATAATAAATTTCCAAAAATTCAAATTTATTTTTTTTATTTTAAATATATTTATCAACACTCTTTTTCTACTTACAGTTCACTTTAGCTTCTTTATTTTTGTTTTTCTTTTCATTTATTTTGAAAATAATTTTTCTATCCTCAGAGGACATTGTATATTAAACTAGCAGATAAGCCCAGCATTGCTCAGGCAAAAAGTAACGATTAAGATAATTACATTATAGCCAATCTTATCCATTTTCACAGAATACAAGAATTAGTCCACCATCCATTTCCAGACTAATTAAAGAATTTTTATATGGGTCTAAAAATATGTTCAATTTTCCGAAAAAACACACCTGCGCCTGTAAATCTTGCATGCTGCTTTTTCTTAATACTTCATTGTTAACACTTTTATTCTTAACATTTCCATTGTTAGCACTTCCATTCTTAGCACTTTCATTGTTAACACTTCCATTGTTAAGGAATACACTTTTTTTTATTCCCCATGGTACCCTACTAAATGTGATAGACTACTAAAATGCAGTCAAAAATGTAAAAAACTGCATCTAAAATAGTACAATAGAAACTGAGTTCTTCAGGGTAAGCCTTAATCCTCTCTCTCTTTTTCCCATGGGGGACTTTCGAAAAATCCCTTCTTAGTGTGCATTTTCGTGACGTACCCTAACTGTGTACGAAATTTAAACTTTCAACTCCTAACTGTTTGGGCTCTGCGCTTATTATTATTATTATTAACCCATCTTGATTATATATATAGATTAACACAAAACTTTTCTTCAAGATAGTATTGTTACTTATCATAAATAATGCTTTCTAGAAGAAGCTCTTATCAAACTGTTTTTCATTCCTTACCACACTTCAGAATATTTTTTCATTTATTATATTCAAATTTTCTTTTTTAAAAATATGAAGAATTAAAATTGATTAAAAAAACAAACCTCTGAAAAATACTCAAACAAGGTAGTCAGGAATTTATTATACAAGGGCAGTTTTTTCAAGCTCCAATGGGCCATAAAACAAAGACAAGTGTAAATAACAGAATGAATTTATTACCAAAAGTTAGGTACAAACATGGTTACTTTTTGACATAATCACTGTGAAGATTGACACATTTGTCATATCTGTGGATGAGCTTTTCCATTCCCTTGTCATAGAATGCTGCTGCCAATGACTTGAGATGGACCCTAATGTTGTTTTGAAGATTGTCATTAGTCTCAAACCTCTGTTCTGCTAGCCATGTGTTCAGTTCTTGCTTTACCAGTAAAATCTGTTCTTTATTATTTTTAATATTTAATGTTTGTTTTTATTAAAATAAATAAATAAATAAATAATGATAATTATTTTCTTGATTTTAATTTCATTACAAAAATTCTTTTGCTTTATAAATACAATTAACTTAATTACAATTAATTCGGTAAACTAAATTATTATACGTAGTAAATNATATATATTTATATATTACAACAGAGATAATGAACTTACATTAGTGTTCTATGTTTTTATTCTAGTTTTTAATTTCCTCTAACAATTGTATTGAAATTTTAACTTTTACAATCTATCAAATTTATAAAAGTTAAAAGTTTCAGTAGCATTGAAAATATTATAAGGTTTAATAATAATTTAAAAATAGAATATACAGTTGAACCCGTAACCTGTATACCTCTAACATGTTTATCGCAAAAACTCTATCTTGAAATTAATCTTTTCCCCTACATTTTCAGCATAAATTCAATATATTTTCCATGTTTATCTCAAATAATTTTCTCCCAAAACCTCTATATTATGGACTGAAGTGTTAATTGCAATTTCAAAGCTCAGCGACTTTTTTTGATAGAATAAACTGTAGTTGAGAAATATCTCTTGCAATACAGTAATAGTTGCAATTAATGCTATTTTTCTCTGATTGACTACGAGGTTGGTTTGGTTTATTTTTTTTATGGCAATGCAACACATGGGCAATCAGCTGAGGGGACGCCTTCCAGGAACACAATATGGGAAACTGGCCTCTATTGAGATGCTACAAACATGAACAAAATCTGGAAAATTCCATGTGGTCAGCCTGTTACAAGGAGTGAACCCAAGTTGTGGGTTCACATCTTGTAACAGTATTCAGTGGTTTTATCTACTCAATTACTGGTGGACTAAGGCTACAAGTTTGGTTTGCATCTTATTGGTTAAAGAAAGTCATGCATTAGAAACTATTGACAAACTATTTCTGTTAAGATATGTCAAAAATATTTTATTTATACCTAATATAGGTATTTACTGTACTTGTTATTGTATTAATAAAAAAAAACCATACTTACAATCAACTCTATTACTGTTTATTGTGTAGGAACTTCTATATCTCGAAACACGTTTATCTCAAATATTTTTCTTGTTCCCATGAGATTCAAGATACAGGTTCGATTGCTTAAATATTTTCAATGGGTTGGTTGGATTTGGAGTTTTTGTGGCACAAGGGCCTAGGTAGGTCAAAGAATGCTAGGTATAGCCAGTTATGCTGCCAGGTCTTTTAGGTCTTAATATGGCATACTTGCTCTGTTGTAACTGTCATACTTGCTTGTTCTAGAGTTCTGTATATACTGTAAGTTTATTGCCTAGGTGTATGTTATCAAAGAGAAGCATTCTCTGGCTGTTTTGTACTGAGAGCACGTTAGTAATATGTGTCGGATGGTAAGTAGGGTGTGGCAAGTTGAAATTATCGGTTGTATCCTTTGTTTGTAAATAGTTGTGTGTCTTGTGTGTCCCATTCTCAATTGAACAAGTACTATTTCTTCTTTCCAGTTTTTTTGTTGGCTGGTTGTCCATTTTATTAACTCTGATTTGATGGTGTATAGTTTATTGTTGAGTTTGTTTGTCCCAGTCCTCTTGTCATTTGTTGTAGATGTACAGAGTTCTGTGCACAAGCATATTCCTGTCTGGTGAATTGGATCAAGCAGATGTAATCATTATGAATGCAGATCCATATAATGCACTTCCATAGTCTGGTTTTGCAAATGTAAGTGCCTGGTAGATTTTCTGCATGGTTTTCTGGTTGGTACCCCAAGAGGTATTATATAAGGTTTTCAATATATTCATTAAATGTGTACACCAGTTCTTTAAGTGGGTGATATTAGGTTTAAATATAAGAGACTTGTCCAAGATCAAATCCAAGAATTTGGTTTCTGTTTAAACTTTTATTTGTATATCTGTGATCAGGACATACTCCTCTGATTCTAAAAAATGTACACAAATTGTTTTAGTTGTTGAGAATGTAAAACCATTTGACTATGTGCAGGATTCTATTCTATTTGCTGTCAGTTGTAGCTGGCATTCAACTATGGTCATACTTGCTGATGCATATTGTATTTGTAAGTTGTCAACATACATTGACTCTTTGATACTGAAATTTTATTAACTCTTAAAATAAAGAGTAATTGTGAGAGGATGGTCGTTGTGACACTCCTTGTTCTTGCTGGAATGTATTTTATAGTGTAATTCCAATTTGGACTTGAAAGGACCAATTTGTCAGGAATCCTTCTATAAATGCTGGTAGTTCCCTCTTAGTCCAATATCATATAGGTCTGTCAATATGCCATGCTTCCATGTTCTGTCATATGCCTTTTTGATGTCAAAGAACACTGATAACAGATGGTGACGACAAAAGAATGCCTTTCAAATGTCTGTTTCAAGGAGAAAAAGCTGTTCTATTGTTGATCGGTGGCACTGGAAATCTCCCTGTATTGAAGATATGGTATTACGTTCCATCAAGTACCACCTGAGTCTGTTATTTACCATCATCTCCATCACTTTGCTCATACAGCTTGTTAAGGCTATTGGCCAATAATTTTGTGGATTAGTTGCACATTTATTTGGTTTTTGGATTGAGATGATTATCACCTTCTTCCAGAAATGTGGGTATTTCTGTTCTGTCCATATTCAGTTAAATATAGCAAGTAGCAACAATTGTATTGTTGACAGTAAGTTTCAGAGCATGTCATAGCAGATTTGGTCTGACCAACAGCTGTATTCTTGATTTTCTGTAATGCATATTGCAATTTGTATATTATGAATGACTGTTATATGTCAGGTATATAAAATAAAATAAAAAATTGTTTTCTGTAAAAACTTTGTAAAGCCAGTATAATAAGTCCTGATATTAGAAGATACGTAATTGTAGACGAAAATTTATACTTTAGACTGTTATATGAGTTGGTTGGTGTGTCACCACTGTATTAATATTTGTTCAACTTTTCCTTTCAGAATCTGAAATGTTTGAGTGTAAATAGCTGTGCTTGAATTGTATGCAAATGTTCTGCCCAAGCAGTTTTCAACTGCTTGTTTGTCTATTATAGTATTACAAATACAGATACAGATATTTATTGATCAATATGCCATATGGCATATCCCGGTGCCACTAAGTATTACCGGGTATATACAGGAAATTACATAGTTTACACTGAAGATTTCGATAACTAATTATTAACGTAAATAAAATTAATTAACACGTGTACAATTATATATATAGGGTTATACACGCGTGCAAAACATTAATAAGTATAAATAGATAAAAATAAATTTAAAACATAAAAGTTGCTGGAAATGTGACAGAGTCATAACATTATATAGTTACACGAGGAACATATGTTTTGTTATCTTACGCGGCAATTCTGTTTCAGCAGAGGTTTTCGAATCAGACTAGATAAAAGTTTTTTTTTTTTTCTGCTGAAGTGAAACTCCTGCACAATCCAGACCAGGAGACTTATACAGATCTTATTAGAATATAGTCCTCTGTCAACGATTTTCCAGAATTAGTTGTCCAACGCCTTTGCTCTTCCTTATAAATCTTGCTGCTAGCATAGCTCCAGGTATATCTTGTGTGATTCTTATTGCCATGGTACAGCTCCAGGCACACCACTGTTATCCACAAAATTTGCCTCTTATGTATGCATGAGAAGCAAACGCCGATACAGAATCACAATGCCAGTAGATGCACTTAATTCACATATGTAGCAGACAAATTCTTCTCGAATATCACTGTTGCACAACGTTTGTGGAATTATACCAGAGTAGTAGTCCAGCCAGAACAGTAGACCAGCCGAAGGAAGACGCTAAATAAGGTTTCAACACAGTTGTACATCATCTATGACGTTCAATGTATGGATACTTTGATTATTTATTGAAGTCTCTTATCATTGATGAGACACATTTCTGAGCACAAATACATAACATCATATATTATTTAGGGAAGAACCAGTGCATTAGACCTATCGATGAAGGACACTGTATAGAGTTTCAACACAGTTGTACAGCATCTATGATGTCCTATGATCACATACGTTGGTTGTTTATTGAAGTCTTTCGTCAATGATGTGACATATTTTTGGGCATAGTAATACAAAGTCAAAACCAGATTCCTTAAGCAAATATTTCACAAGTACGGCCAATCAAGTATTATAAAAAGAGTAGGGCACATAAGTATAACGAGGGTAAGTGTGTTAACGAGAATACAACAAAACATGTAAAATATATAATAATAAAAGAAATAAAATAGACAAAACGCCGATAGAGAACCCATGGTATCAATGCTAAACCTTCCAAAAGAAAATGCAGACTACAAGTACAATCACGAAATAATTATATTAGGGTAATTTATATTTTCACTAACCAACAGTTGGCCATTAATGGCCAGAATAAGCTGGTACACTGGTCCTTACAAAATACATGTTAACGAGTTGTACAAAGGCATCGAAGGTATCTTTGTGATCAAAGAGACGTTCTAAGGTGGGAGGTGGCCAATGGAGATCATGAGACTCAAGTAACAGTTTTAAAATCAATCTTTCATTTTCTAGCATAGGGCATGTATAAATATAATGATCGCTGCTGTCGTTGCAATCACATATAAGACATCTTGAGTTTGATGTGCCCTTGAATCTTGAAAGGTATGAATAAAATCTCCCATGATTTGTTAATATTTGTGTGAGTTGGTGGGTAGGCTTGTACCATTTATTACTAAGGAAATTTGTAATATCTGTAATATATTCATGTGTTTTATTATTAATATTATTCCATTGAAGCTGCCATGCATGAATTACTTCTTTCCACAGGATAGTTTTAATTGTTTGTATACTAATTCTTTTGTAAGATACAGGTAAGTCCTCCTTATAAGAAGCCTCTTTTGCAAGTTCGTCTGCCAGTTCATTTCCATAGTGCCCTTGATGTCCTCGAATCCAGTTTATAGCGAAATGACAAGTGGATGTATTTATGATATCTTGTATACGATTTGCAATCGGATGATAGTTTCTGGTTTTTAGCAGAGCTATGGCAGAAGAACAATCAGTATTAACAGAAATCCTTTTGTTTGTATAATTATGCTTACACCAAGCAACAGCCATTTGAATGGCGAACAATTCGGCTTGGAAATTTGAGCAATTTTCACCAAGTCGATATTGTTCCATAGTCAATATCTCTTCACGGCAGTATGCAATAAAACTGCAGCCTACTCGGTTACCCGTTTTAGAGCCATCTGTAAAAAGATGAAAGTCTGCATTATCATAGGTGTTAATAGCAAAATTATTTGTGGTGGCAGGATGTCTTGATTGATTAAAAGCCACTGGTCTTTCGACGTCCTCTGCCCTAATAATGTAATCATCAGTTTGTATATTCTGTCCCCATTTGATATGCCAAATTTTTGCAGTATAGTCAATGATTTTATCAATAGGAGGACATCTTGCCAGAACTTGGATGGAGACATTAGGGGTTGTGCAATAAGCTCTGGTCAACTGGATGAGCGCCTTTCTTTGTGCAGATATAAGTTTTCTATTTATATGAATTTTATATATATCTTGGCTCCAGCTACCGCAAGCATATGTAATTATTGGTACGAAAATTTGTTTGTATATGATGTTAAGGGCATCGGTAGTAAGTCCCCAGCGTCTCTTAGCAAAGCCAGTAAGAATATTAAATATACTGCCAGTACGATCAGTTATGTATGCTATGTGTGTATTCCATAATAAACGATGGTCTAATATGATTCCTAAATATTTGATGGATTTAACAATTTTAACACTTTGTCCATCCATCTTAATAACCGGGGTCCTCCGGTAGAGATTCGGTTTACCAGGTTTATTAAAAACAATTCCCATCGTTTTGTTAATGTTAAAGGTAAGTTTGTATTCCTTACCCCATTTGCTTATCTTACATAAAGTATCGTTACCGAAGATCTCTAGAGCAGCTCTCGAATTACCCCCCAGAAGAACGATTGCATCATCTGCATAAGCAATTGTTACGTGGCCAAAGCTCTGTCTTAAAAAGTTGTCAAAGACAGTATTCCACAAGATAGGGCCACATACAGAGCCCTGAGGGCAACCCCTAACGACATTTCTACGCATAATGTGAGCACCATAACACAGCTCTGCAGTTCTATTGTTTAAGTAATGAATAAAAATTCTATATATGTTTCTGGGACATTGCCTATCTCGCAAGCTCTGCAAAATCGATGGCCACCATGCGCTGTCGAAAGCTTTTGCTATATCCAGGCTTATAGCAAGTACGAATCTATATTCCTCTAATAAGAGATTTATACTTTTGATAACTTTCTCAATTGCGTCTGGAGCAGATTTTTGTGGGCGAAAACCATATTGGTTGCTATGCAAATATTGATTTGTCTCCAAATGCCAAGATAATCTATTAGTCAATAAACGTTCAAGTACCTTTCCCAATACTGGCAATAGAGAAATAGGCCTACACTCGTCCAGATTTCCCGGTTTCGGCACAGGTACGATCCTTGCCCTTTTCCAGGAATTAGGAAATATAATATATTTCCTAATTCCTGGAAAACTATTATAGTATTAACACAACAAAACTATTATAGTATTGTTGTGTTCTGTCAAAATTGAGATCTGTGGAGTAGAGGTGTTTCTCCTTATAGCTTGAATGCCTTTCCACAACTGTTGTTGGTCCGCTGTTCTTCCTAATGACATGATAAACCGCACCCAGGTTTCTTTTTTACTTTTCCAATGGATCTTCCTGGCATTTTCTTTCACCTGCTTGAATCTATTTAAGTGCCACCCAATAGAAAGAACTACAACTTGTGCCAGGCTCTGTATTGAGCTTGTCATACTGTTATGCAGTTCCAGTTTCACCATGATTTGTCTTTTGGAATACAGTTTGTGTTTGGCATGGAATTGACTTCTGTGACCTTTTGTATTTCTTGTTCTATTGATTGGCTCCTGTCTGTAGTTATTCAGTTGGCAAGTTTGGTAAATTCTTAATAAACTTTTTGGATTATCTGTCTGGAGGCAGTGTTTTCTGATGGCTGATCCTTTATGTGGCAAAGGATTGTTGGAAGGACTGTCTGAGATTCAGGACTCTCCATTTTCAATTTGCAAAAGTCTTTGGTATGCTAATAGTGAGGTCTACAGCTGAATAGGTGTGGTTTGGATAGTGAAAATGAGTACAGATGACTGTGTTGTACAGCAGTGCGTGCGTGCGTCCAGATAATTTGTCATCTATGGTCAACTTGTCCTCTGTAGTTTTTATCCCAGCTTGAACTATGACTATTAAAGTCTCCTAACAGTATCTAGGGTTTTGGGAGTTGGTTTATGAGTGATTCTAAGTCATTTTGTTCTACTGTGTCCCCTGGCAGGAGATAGGTATTTCATACTGTTACTAGTTCTGGATGATGAATTTGGACTGCCACAGCATGAAGCAATATGGACAGAGGAATTTCTCTTACTGGCACTTAGTATGAGACCAGAATTGCTACCTAACCACAAACATTTTATTTGAAGTGGTGATCTTTGTGGAAGACATTGTAGTGTTTAAATTTAAGTTGTCGATTGGTTTAGATTTTGTTTATCGTAGACATATGCAAATTGGGCCATAAGTCTGTATTAAGTTCTGGAGTTCATCAGTTTTGTGTTGTATCCAGTGGCATGCCATGACATTTGATGATAGGGAAGCTGTGTTTCTGTAAGAAGCTGACTTCCAGGAGCAATCAGTCAGTAATGGTTTAGGGTCCATTCGTATTTGTTTGTTCGATAAGCCAGTAAAAACTGCAAACTTCTCTAAATGTATTTTTAATTAATTAATAGACTGTCTAACGCACTTAATAAATAAGCAAGTTCAATATAATTAACTCTGTTATATTAGATTTAATAGATTCCCTATGCTCTCTAAATGCCAATTCTTGCTTCCATAACATTTACTAATTTAAATATAATATATCTATTAGCCATAACTATCTTGTTATAATTTTCAATATTTATTTTATATTGTGTACTAATGTTAAATTCTATTCTATTTTGATTTCCAAATTGCTTCAATTTTACGAAAGAATCGATGCAGATTTACGATTTTCACGTCTTTTCCCAGCTTTACTCAAATTATTTAAATCGTCAAAGCCATTCTTATTCCACATACTAATTTCATTTGAAAGTAATAGGCAAGGCCAACAAAACAATTTTCGCATTTTTATGCATGCACAAAGCCATTTTACGTCTTCCTAAATTTTATCATGAAAATGTTGAACAAATTTTTATGTTGACGTATTTATATTTAATTTAGGCATTGGTCTTTCTCTTTTAATAATGTTTTCTTTTTCATTATATGGTCTCGAGCCAAAACTTTTTTAAAATAAATTTTCAATATCACAATTACATTCTAAATTGCTATCTATAATATAAGGGCTAAAATTAAAAATAAAATTATAAAAACTAACTTGTTAAAATAAAATGTGTGATGATATACAATTATACATACCTGGTACAAAATATTCAATTGTATGAATATACTTTTAAAGAAAATTATAAATATAGTTTTGTGAAGAAACGTACATAAAAATAACATAAAATAGTCTTTACTTTTTAAATATTAAAACAATCCACCTAGTTAAAATTGCTCCCTACCAGTGGCTCATGGATGGAATCAGAAACGATCTTGGTAGGGGTGAAGTGCATGCATGCGTGCCAAATCCTGAGGGTGCCGATACCAGTTAATGTCAAATGCCTCTTTTGTCGCATCACTAGGACACAACAGGGTTGTTATAAATTTTAAACGTTTCTCACCATAGCTGTAAAAATCTAAATTTGTTAAACTTAATAGTCATTTGTTTTCTAACTAATCCATTTTAAGACCAGATGTCCACAGAAATTTCCAAAATTTACAACTTTTAGTCACTTTCATTGAACTGGAAAAATTTCTGTCTTTATTACATCTAATATTATGAAGAAATCAGTCCACACTGTACTCGGTTAAGCTTTTGTTTAAGTAAAATTCTGGCTCTTTCAGCAGGGTTTTATTTGTGTCCCCAATTCCCTAAGCGCTTAATTATTTAACTACTTCTTAAGTAGAAATAAGTCGAAACCAGTTACTTCGTACTCAAATATTTGTAGTCTCAGGAAAAAAGTGGAAAGACAAATTTTTATGACAACATAGTAACATAATATGAGATACATAAATCGTAAATTTAAGGAAAATAAATTCTAGAGCTTTTTCTGTACCTCGTGCATCTCTCTCATTCATTAAATTTAGTTGTAAATGACGCTGTCAAAGTAACAGTTAACTTTTTAACATTATACAAGAATTGTACACGTTTTTTTTCTACATCCCCTTAGAGATGGGACATACGAAATCGTAATATCACTGATTTAACATTGAAATCTGTGAGTAATATAAAATCAGAGAGCGGAATAAAAATATCAAATATTTTAATGGATTTTTTAAAACTCCTGTCAACTATACAGAAAACTATCATAAAAACATACCAGTAAATTCTTATCAGTTGGGTTAGGTTATAAATCTACTCGTGATTCACATAATGGGGTGAGGGCGGTCAAATATCTAGCAGGCAGGCAGCTAACAGCCCATAACCGGTCCTGGAGAGAATTGGATGTGGTATACGTGTAGCATCCACCCAAGGTCCTAGGCTTCCACTGGCTAAACCGGGTGAGGTTGGTGCTCTGTAAAGCGCGTGCGCGAATCTGGCTTTTTGGATGCTGACAATACAGCGCTTCCACTCCACCACTAATATTCGAATATACAATAGCAATCTTATCTTTTTTTTCACGTGTAGTATAGAAATTTGTAATAAGATACATAATGCAGTTATAATAAAATATTGTGTGGTTATTTTCACATAATTAAAATTACTATGTATTTATTTTTTAGTAAATACAAGGGAAGCGGCACATCCACCACTTCCAATGACAGCACGCCACTGGTTGTATCCCTTGACAATTCCATTGGAGTATTACTGTATGCATATTCAGAGAGGTTAGTGGGTTGTGAGGATACCATTCTTTGCTGGGTTGGTTTTGTTACTGTTTTTGTAATTAGAACACAAATCATTTATTGTATTCGAATACAATAAATGATTTGTGTTCGAATTACTAAACAATTACTGGCACAGTTTCAAAAATACCAGAATGTTTTTGTCTTTTTAAGGTGTGTTTTATGTTGTTTCATGGTTGCTGTTTGTTTTTTGTCCAGGTTATAAGTTTTGTTTTTCATTTTTACAAAAGTCAGTGCTGGATGAGATGGCAGAACAGCAGTGTTTGGGTTCTGTGTTTTTTGTTTTGTTGCTAAAATAGTCAGTTTTGATAACTGTACAGTGGATGTGCTTTTTTTTACCACATTCTTCTATATTGGTAGATTCCACAGGAGATATGCTGGTTTCTGTTTGAACTTCCTGTGAAGGTTTCTGCATGAGTTTATTGGCAAATGTGGGTTTAGAGCACATATCTTTGTATATCTCCACTTTGCTTCTATGTAGGTAGTTTGTTCTATCACTCAAATGCACTGGATTTATTGTTTTTCTATCCATTTTGGACATCTTGAGGATGCTGTATGATTTCACCCACAGTTTACACACACAGAGGGATTTGGACAGTTACTTTCATATGGTTGGTCCCCACAGTTAGAATATCGTGTTTTGCTCCAACAGTTGTATTTGGTGTGTCCATATGCCTTACAGTTATAACATCTGAACGGATTCAGGATATATGGTTGAACTTTACAATTTAAGTATGCTATTTTGATATCCACAGGAAGGTTGGGCATGTTAAAGATTATAATTAAATACCATGTAGGAATCACTTACCCATTTCATTTTTGGTTAATCTTCTGACTGCTAAAATTCCCTGGCTTGCCAGGTTTTCTAAAATTTCCTCAGTTGGGCACATTAAAAGTCTGTACTTGATATTATTCCTCTGGAGTAATTTAGATATTCGTGTGGAGTTACTGTGACTGGTATTTCTGTGAAATTGGTTATTGCCTGGAGATTTTTACTATGTTGGCTGTTTTCAGTCTTTATGAACAGATCTCTTGATCAGAATTTTTGTATCATTTTTGGTTGTCCAGCTGTTTGGCTGAGGATTCTATAAATCATAAAGAGAAATAATTCAGATAGTTTCTTTTCCACCTTCTGCAAATGGATGATGAGGTATTAAGGGATGATGTGTTCAGGTTGTTCTGGGTCTACTCATTTTGATAGAAGGTCATGGTCTTCACCATGTCCTCTCTTTCTGAACAGAGTGTTTTGGAGGTGTTGTGTCATTTCAGTTTCCATATGTTATTGATTACAATTCACTTACTTTACTATTCCTGGCCCTATTCTGACCACAACAAGAGGGTAAAGGTTCATTGCAAGCCCCTATAACACCAGCTTCCCCCTCAGGGCTTCAAAGCAACTATAGTCCAGTAACAGGGCAACATCAGACAGAGAATGCCCTCCAGCTCCCAAAATCCAGAAGGTCCTCCTCCTAAACCACTCTGTTCCAGGCTCACCCAGCTTAAACACAGCAAGCAGATACAGGAGCAGACATCCTTGATGACCAGGCTGGATTAGACATGGCCACCCATCTACAGAGAAGCAAGAGTCAAAGAGGTGTATTGTGCATGATCCCGTTTTGATCATTCTGGGAGCAATAACCTCTGCCTCCCAGGTCCCACTTATGGGTCACAGCACTCAGCCAACATGCAGGTAGGCTCAAATGTGTGAGGCACCTTAGCAGCCTACTGCTAGGGCCAAGCAGATTGTGGTCAAATAGGTAGTTCACCAAAGTCTAGAATATAACTATAAACTACATTAAGTCTATGTTATTGTCCACCACCAAAGTCAGTGGGCGTCTTGGGATGAGACCGATGGGATGGGCCATAGGGATGCGACTCCCCAAACAGTTGTTTAAACAACTATCCCTTACAGAGAAATATTTTCAAATTAAAAAGTTTAAAAATATTTAAGTATATTATGCATCTTAATTAAACACAAAAAATTTACTCATACTAAAAAATGTAATTTTTTTAACAGGTCCACTATTTTAATTACTACTGACTATTTTTCAATGTTTCTACTTTTTATTCTAAATTTACCAGGAATAATTTTGTCAAATTTATTTATAATATTACAAAATGATATTAATTATGAATTATATCATTTACAATATTTCTATTATTTAAAAAAATTAATGTTTTGAAACTGTATGTACTTCTATTAATCATTTTTAATATTATTATGAAGGTTTTGAAGTATCTGTTAAGAGGTATTAACCTTTCAAGCATTAATGACATACTAAGTACATCTGCCAAGAATTTCTACAAAACATTGGCAATGCACCTTGTGCATTCTCATATTTTTAGTACACTGTTCTATTAGAAATGTGGTGAATGAATTCATAAATTTTAGTCTATAACTTGATATTCTATGGACTGCTACTTCTTGCATCATTTTTTATTATAACTTCATTTTCTACTTGGCTTTATTTTTATTTATCTACATTTATATGAAAAATTAAGGTGTTCTTGGAAGAAGTATAATACTTATCTAGACAATTTCCTTTACATAAAGAATATAGGAAGACCATTATGATAACACGTTGCATACAGAGTATTCTAAGACAATAAATATTATATTATACAATCACAATTCATTGCATTCAATTTGAAACTTCTAAAAACAAATTATTTAATTTTTAAGATATAAAGACATTTAATAAAATGCAGCAAAGTAAATAATTAAGTAAAAACTGCAAAAATTAAGAAATTAAAATATAACATATTATTGCACAAATACATAATATGCCTATTAATGTAAGGATTTTGAAAATTAAAAATTCTTAATTTTTTTTATACTTTGTTAATTTTAAAACATTCTGCGTTTAAGGCTGCGTACACACTAGGCGTTTTAAAGAACCAAGAGTTCTACACAGGCGTACACACTCAAACGCGCACTTTTGGCCAAGCACCTGGTAAACACGCATTTATAGATTTTTCTTAAAATGCGCATTTTTCAGGCACTTTAGTGGAACTCTTGGTTCTTTAAAATGCACGTTTAAAAACGCTTAGTGTGTACGCAGCCTAATAGTACACAAAAATAAATAAATGGATAAATATATATGCCTGTATATATTATCATATTTATTTATTTCATTTAATTTTTAGAAGCTTATTTTTAAACATTTTGTTCTTTCATATTTGAATGCATTAGTACAATTACTTAAAATTGTTAGAAGTTTTTGAATAAAAGATAATCCATAAAATTTTTTAAATATGACAAAGTATAATATTATTGATATTATATGTAGGTAGTTTGTTCTATCACTCAAATGCACTGGATTTATTGTTTTTCTATCCATTTTGGACATCTTGAGGATGCTGTATGATTTCACCCACNAATTACATTTACAAACTGATCTCAGATCTTTTTTTTATTTATGAATCTTTCTCTCATTATTTACAAATATTGTAACAAATAACAGAAAGAGCTAAAAATTGCTCAAATTACAATGCATTAAAAGAAAAATTTTTTAAAATGATTCATATAAAATAATAAAATAAAAACATTCATTTCATTTATTTAATATGTAAAAACTGATATTCAGATGTTTGATTCTGAATATTTGACTTTATTTATTTAAAGAATATATATAAGAATTTGAATTAAAATATATTAAAAGTATTATTATATAAAACAATTAGTAAATAATGTCAAAATTGGATTATATGTATTTTGTTTGTTTATTTAAAAAAATAAATAAATAAATCAAGACTATATTATTACGGGTAATTTCAGTACTACTATGCTTGGCTTAATCCCAAAATTTACAGTTCATTAATTAAGTTTCATATAGTCTATATATATACTATTATGCACATAACAGTACATATATTTCCAAAATACTAATTGCACAGGAAACAAATGAGATCAAAACAATTTTTGTATTATTATATGTAACTTCTCATTAGAAAAACAAATTACAATGGGATAATTATTTCGAAAATTATTCCGAATTCCACATATTAACTCAAGACCGTTACCGTCCCATATTTAACGTTTAAAAGTTTTAACAATGTTAGAATAAGGATGTTTCTTACCATGTATACAGGATACAGTCTTATATTAATTAATTTATCAATTACAATCACTCAACACTCTACTAGGCAATTTAATTAATTACACCATTAAATATCCAATTTTTAAAAGTAATATTAATAAGCAAAATTGAGTTCTGCAATAAACTAGTTCATCATCATTATTCTATTTAAATGACATGCAATATGCGATGCTTCACTTTGTCATAATTAGTTTTTCTATAGTACCAAGCAGAATAAAATTATACCTATTGTAAATTCACATATACATGTTGTAGATAATGAATATAATTAGGTTTTGGTGCATTAAGAATTAAATGTAAAACTGCATTTTTAATGTGGAGAGCAAATAAGACGTTACATGCTCATTTTCTTTCGTTACTTGTTTTATAAAATCATTTTTAAATTTTGAATCGAACATAACACAGGCCTTTATGATCAATAATCGTAAAATTACAGATTTCTGTCGAAGATTTCTCCATTTAAGCCAATTAAATTGATAATAATACAAGTTAATTTTAATTAAACGTCATCAAATGAAATGGAAGCATTTATTAATTATGCAATTCGAATAACTGAATAAAAAATTGTAATGTAAACAATTGACAAATATATTAAAACTTCAAAATATGTAAACGAATGATAATCAAATGTTCGTTCATTGATCATACTTACGTTAACTGAGCCTATCTACATTTGTATAAGAATAAATAAAACAATAAAATACAAATTGACATAACTTCGCGTTCACTCAACGAAAGCAAGTTCGATTTTGTTTTGATACAAGAAACAGCGATAGGAGGCGTGAACAGGAAACGTGCAGATGACGTCATTTCCTTTTAAGGGGAGAAATATATATATATATTTTTAAAATTATATTTAAGTGTATATATCTAGACTAGAATATAAATATATATTTCTTTTTTATATAAGTAAAACAAATATTAAAATATTTTAAAATTTTATATTTTTATATAGTTATTTTATTAATTAAATCTAAGCCGGATCTAAATGTTATTGTCATGACTAAACAGGTATTTTTGATTTATTCAGCAGTTTTCGGAGATATCGAATAAGGAAAGAATCATGAATCGTCAGGAGTGAAGAAAAAACTCGGATATTTTTATAATTAAAATATTAACATTACATTGGGAAGAAAGTGTCTTTTCTTTTTATGTAAAAGAAAACTTGGGGAAAACAATAACTATTGTTTCGATGATTAATAGACGAAAAATATTAATCCCGAATGTAATTACTAAATACTGTATCCAAGATTATAATACTATACCCGTTGATTTTTAAATATGAAACGTTATAAGACGGATGGCGAAGCTATTAAATCGTCAGCCTACCGCTCTGACTAATCCAGACGGGTCAAAAATCCGCAGAAATTTTTGGGGAATGTTCGGAACACTTCTCTCATTGCCCAGCCGCTCCCTTGTGGGACAGGCCGAACCCATGATCGTCTTGATTAAAAAACCCTCTTGACAGAGCGTAAAGAGTAACAAAAGGTTCTTCGTTCTACCAGTATCATTTTCAGTAAATCTTTAACATGCCTACATCTTTCTGTACACTCACTTTCTCCAATTTCTTGACGTAATATAATATGAATGTTACATTGTTTCCGACCCGTTGTTCAAATCTGACAAATTAACTCAGTTGGATTCCCCGCGTTTCTTTATGCAGCGAGAGTGTAGCGAGATGACGTCACGAGCAGTGTTAGCCAATTAGAAACTAGTTTCAGTGTGTTCGCTGTAAAGCGTTTCTCGAGCGCTGCATAAAGAAATGCTGGGATTCAAATCCGGGTGGATGGCCAAGCGGTCAAGATGGTAACCTACCACTCTGGGGATCCGAGATCGAATCCAAACAGGTCGAAAAGTCCCAAGTTCGGGGGTGGTCCGACCAGATATGTCGGCCCGTCCCTCACCACCCGGCCGCCCAATGTGGATAGTGTTACCACCCGTCCGGGAATCGACTCACTGTACGGGTGAACTACTAATTTTGTCCGGGAATGTCGTGCGCAACCTGTCGACCTTTTTTGTTTTTCTTGTACGATTCGTATTCGTACACGTCTCCAATATCCAATAGAGTTGAGTCATCTGTAGTTGGTTTTTCTTAATTTAGTTACTTACGTTACTCCTACCCAAGTCTCCCTAGTCCCTAACTGTAACTGATTTAGAACCGGCATGCACTGCACGTTATTCTTTGCAATGCAAAATGACATTGCGAATGCGTCAGGAACTTCTGTTCGAACGAACCTCACCTGCCGTCCGGGTCAGCGATTTTGAAAAGTGGCAACACTAATTGTGGGCCAGGCTAAACTCATAATGGGCTTGCTAAAAGAGGCCCTCTTACTGCCCACAGAGCGGAGAGTTAAAAAAAATCCGGGTAATATGGAGTTAGAAAATATGGTTTTATTATGCTTTTCCAATAACTTCTCAATTCAATAAGTAATTAGCAACTTATTCATTTTAATTCATTCATATAATTCTGGCTTCAGCATATTATTTAAAAAAGAGTGGTCCACCAGTGGCCAAGCGGTCTTCGTACTCTGAATACTGGGAGTTCGGTCGTGGGTTCACGCCGCGCTCGAACGGGCTGGACCACGTGAAGTTTTCAGGGTTTTCTCCATGTCTGTAACGCCTAAATAGGGCCAGTTTCCCTTAAAAAGACCTCCCGGAAAGCATCTCCCCTAGGCATATCCCCCAAGTGTTGCGTTGCATAATTTGACAAACAAACAAACATTTGAAAAAAATATATATTTTAAAAGCCAAGTTTGCATTAAATTTCTTCCTCGAATTCTCGGTTCGTTTTGCAAAATATCAGTAAATGAAACAGAAGTAAGTGGAAAATTTAGGATGAGTTTTTCATTTAATTAATCAGCGTTCGTGGTTATTCCAGTTCATATCAAGATGATAATCACCGGTTTTCGGCTAGGATTTAAATATTAAAAAGGAATTATTTCCTTACTTCTGCTTGCACAATAATCAGTCTTTTACAGTACCTTTCGATAACACTTTTACCGCTACTCAGCTCAAACTTTACGATTTGTGTAGAAACTATGAATATATGTTTCGTCTTTACGCATAATAGATCTTCTTATTTCTCTGTATATCTTTAATGTCATAAATGGGAAATTCTTGCTCCTCTAATATCATGTCTTTACATTAAAACGGTGTTATCAAAAGTTTATTTTCTATTTAACGAATTAGCCAATTTATCAAATCTGATTGTATATTACGCTTAAGATTCCGATTTCCAAAACGAAATTCAGGAGCAAGACATTTTGACAAAATCTTATTTTATACGTTTTTTAATGGTTTTATTGATCCGAAATAGGCTACTATGTTTATATTTATGTGTCTCAGAGCTAAGTAATTATTTATTAAAAAACAGCAAAAAATAGTAAAAATACAATTTGATTTTTAAATATCGAAAGTATATTGAGAATAGTTAACTAATGCCCATCTTTATGCAAAAAACATTGTGCAGATGAGAAAATTATGTAATGTGTACAAATATGCTAAGTTTTTATAGAATCGTACAAAGAAAGAAAGAAATTAAGTCAGAAACGAAATTCGGTTATTATGGTAAGTGTCAATATATATTTGTGTTTAATGAAGAATACTGTGCAATAAGCTCTTACCCACGTAAATTAGCGGTGGTATTATATACGTAAAGCGGCTTTCAACATTATAATCACCAGGTCGCTTATTGCACAGTATTCGCACTTGGTGAGAAATGTCACGTCGAGCAAAGTTTAAGCAATTCTATCCAGCTGATATGTCAGAAGTATGACTGACAAGTGAGTATGATAGGTCGATCACACCCACCACGGAAGAGGTCAGTTTAAGATATCAGACCGTCGTAACCGTTTTACGAGTGTATTGCAGTAAAGGGAGGAGACAATTACAAACGGGTAAGCTATATTTCATCCATTATTTCTGAATGAAGATTGTTCAATCACACTGTTACAAAATTGAAGATGTAATCAAACTTCAAGTGTCCCTAACAACAGTTTTAGTGCACTGAAGGAATTTCATTATTCCTGCAGAGCATAAATCATATTCCTGTGCTGCATAATAGGCAAAAATGATATAAAAAAGCTCGAATATGCACGTAGATATACAATTGGATGAAGCAAATGTTTTCTTCTAGAACGAAATTGACAATCTACTATGTGCCAGAACTGTAGCCGTGCTCCTCAAGGAACAACTCCCCACTAGCCTCCACAGGCTGTAGAAACTGCCATATTCTACTGTAAAGAGCTATGTACAATACTCACTTGTACCTGAAGTTTTTAAATGAGACATCATCTGAACTCTTTGCCACCTTACAGCTCGTACTGAATTACTGTTCACAAAATGGAAAGAGTTGTTGTGTGTCAGAAACTGTCGCAACCAGGTGGAACTTGTGTATTCTTTGTTGATATTTGGTTCACAGACAATCGCTACGGACTAAAATCGCTTTTTCAGCATGAAAAGTTAATTGTCAAGGTCTTGCGTAATGCCAAATTCTAAACCATAAAGGTGTGCTTCGTATGAGTTGTTCGAACAAATAATTTCTGTTTTCACTACACGCTGTAGCCTATTCTTCGTTTTTCATACTACTGTATATCATCCACATTGCACACACTACTCGACTAACCGAACTTCTTATTTACAACTAGGAATATCTATTTCCTTTTTCTCTTTCCACTGTTTACACAGTATTCCACTCTTCCTACTCTTCTGGGCATATGTCAGGACGACAATTATGACCGACTGTATTAAGATTCAGTTTGTGTCCCATTTTGGTAACAAATAAATGCAATGTCATAGAATACGATATAATGACGGCCGGATGACTGCGAGGTTAAGGTGACAGCCTACCGCTCGGGGGATCCGGGATTGAATTTTGACAAGTCGATAAACTTCAGGAATTTTTCGAGGTGTAGCACATCCCTCCCTACCTGTTAGAACTCATAATCGATTTGCTAAAACGATTTTCTTAGTGCCCATAGGACGGAGAGAGTTTAAAAAAAGCTTTCATATCTGATCCAAATTCACGGCATCTCGTCGATCACCTGTCAAGAGTTCACACAGCTATGTATTTCCAAATAGCTGAGCTTTGCCGAAGAATACCTTGAGTTCGTATTACTATTAAGAATACTGATACTAACTCATTTTGTCCATTTCCACCCGAAAAAAATTCTTATTAAAATTAAAGAAATTTGGGTGGCAAGCGTCCTAGTACTTATTTCGGACGGTCGGATGGCCGAGCGGTCAAGGTGGCAGCCTACCGCTCTGGGGGACCCGGGATCGAATTCGGACGGGTCAAGGAATCCCCAGGAATTTTTCGAGAGGTGGTCCGTTCGGATATGTCGGACCCCGTCCTTCACCACCCGGTCGCCATTGTGGGCCTGGCCGAACCCATAATGGGCCTGCTCTAAGAGGTCCTCTTAGTGCCCACAGGAGGGAAAGAGTATTTAAAAAGTACCTATCTCGACTTTATAACCGATATTATTAGCTAACGCGTCTTATTCCGACACTGAAAATGAGAACGACACTTGAAAAATGTAATTTTATCTATAGTAGAAGGAAAATAATTTAATGCTAAAAATGATAACATCATTATTCTTAAAATCTAATTTTTCTATCAAAAAAGAAAATTTTAAACACAATAAACCTCAGCTAACTCGGACAAGTTTTTTTTTTTTTTTTTTCGAAAAATTGTACAGTAATTTAAAATTTCTTCACAATAAAAAAAAATTTTAATTGACGAGTCATTATGAGAAATTATGATTATCGA